CCCCACATTGGGCCTGCGTCCACTCCTCCCCCACCGCCCCTCCCCCGTCAGCTCCAAGCCCACTCCTCCCATTCCCCTGCTGCTGTTGGGTCGGCCCAGGCCCGCTGGTCCCCCCCGCCACAGCGGGCCGGCTTGTCCCCCGGCTCCACCGCGTGGGACCTGGGCCCATTCCTCCCCTCCCTGCACTGCTGGGGCGTGCCCATTATTCCCCCAACCCAGGTGGGACCTGCATTGGGACCTGCAGGTGGTGACGATGGAAAGAGGGAGGGGCGGGCTGAGGCCAGAGCCTGTGGCCTTGTTCCCCTGTGCGGCATCCTGACCCCGCTCGCCACCACTGCTGTCACCTGTTAGGAGTAAGAGGTGGGGTGAGGCCAGCTCCAGTGGCCTCACTGCCTCCCCCCCCCACCGTGTGCTCCATCCTTGCCATCTGCAGAGAGCAGGGCAGGGGGGGAACGAGGCCCCCCTGTTCTGTCTGCTCCGTTGCTGTTTGTCGGCCAACCAGAGCGCGAATAATGCATTACGGACAGGCGCAGACAGACAGATGAAGGCCTTTATAATATTAGAATACTTATATAATAAATCCCAATTTCAAGAATGCATCAATTCTTGATGTGAATGGTAGAAAAGAAACATGAATTAAAATCAAAGGAGCTCTACCTTGAAATAAATACTACTAATAATTAGACTTTATTTCAGTTTCTAATCCCAGGGACTACTTTATTAAAATGAGAGTAACCAAGCCTCCCTGCAACTGCCCTTTAATTTTATGGGCAGACAAATGCTTCCAACTTCTTGGGAGGTGGGGCAGAGGGCCTCTGTCAAACCCCAAAGATATGCAGACTCTGTTCATTCTGACAGGGTACAAACATCCCCTTTTACATGGAAAAATCTGCTTTCTCCCTCACCTCAATTCCTTGTGGGACATTTTAGTGGTTTCCTCTTTAAATTAGGCAGGGTAGCTAGCTAATTACTTTGATACGCAGTGATGTTTCATAGGCACTCCCTTTTATGAATAATCATACTGGACAAAGTGACACAGAGGAAGATTGAACACAGACTAAAATGCTAGCAAAATGGAATGGTTTAAGTGTTTTTTTCATTTTTGAGTGTGGGTGACAGTTGCAATTAAACAGAAACCTTGGTTCCAAGAGACTCAGATCTCTGCTATTATGCCATGACTTGAGTGAAGGAAAAAATTATTGTTTACCTGATATGCAGAAACTCTCAAAATTGCTCTCGCAAGAAAAGATTCATTTCTTCTCCCAAGCTAGTAAAATTTCACTGTTTACATTTAGGAATGCAGAAATAAAAAACCATAAACTGAAACCAAACTTAAATAATCTTTCGTTTCATTTCAGTTCTTGTTGTGTAATTCTAAGGGCCTTTATTTTGAGCTCAGAATACACACTGTCCTGTTGGTGTGGTAAACTTCACAAATAGGTGCCTGCTTAGGCTGAGATGAGGAGACATACATACCCTGTTTTAGAAAACTGTTTTGTAAGCAGTGTCCCCCATTATATTTAAGTAACATGACTAAAAATGTACACAAACACATAAACAAGAGACAGAGGGAAAATTACAATCTAAGTAACTTGTGACCCCGCCAGTAGTTTGCTTCCTTTTCAAGGTAACTGTTCTCTGTGTCCAAGTACTTTTAGATAGAGAGACATACTATTTTAAGGAGTGGTGAGGTAAAGCTGTGAGCTTCTTGAGTTCTGCAGTGCTCACAAGTTAGACTTGATATTTTCAGTGATTCAAGAGCTGAATGTTTTTCCAGAGAAATCTTTTGTGTATCATCTTCTCTGGGTCAAATGGTTTATAAAAGAGTTCATATCTTGTTCAGCAAGCATATGATCCAGTTAAAAGCTGTTTTATATAGTAACTTAAACCAAGCCCCTACAAAACAAGTCAGTGAAGCATATAATGGAATGGGTTTGGTATTATAACTAGTAACCAGACATTGAAGATGAAGGTCTTGAACATGTTCCAAAGTGGAACAGTCCCACTAAAGAAACAGAATAG